AAACTATAAGAGATACGGCCAAAACAAGCGAAATCTGTGATCACTTCAGTTTCATACAAAAAATCGATATTTTGAGTCAAAACATAAAAGTCCATTTTTCTTGAAACTATAAGAGATACGGCCAAAACAAGAGAAATCTGTGATCACTTCTATCTCATACAAAAAATCGATATTTTGATTGAAAACATAAAAGTCCATTTTCTTGGAAACTATAAGAGATACGACCAAAACAAGAGAAATCTGTGATCACTTCTATCTCATACAAAAAATCGATATTTTGAGTGAAAACATAAAAGTCCATTTTTCTTGGAAACTATAAGAGATACGGCCAAAACAAGCGAAATCTGTGATCACTTCAGTTTCATACAAGAAATCGATATTTTGAGTCAAAACATAAAAGTCCATTTTTCTTGGAAACTATAAGAGATACGACCAAAACAAGAGAAATCTGTGATCACTTCAGTTTCATACAAAAAATCGATATTTGAGTGAAAACATAAAAGTCCATTTTTCTTGGAAACTATAAGAGATACAGCCAAAACAAGCGAAATCTGTGATCACTTAAGTTTCATACAAAAAAAATCAATATTTTGAGTGAAAACATAAAAGTCCCATTTTCTTGGAAACTATAAGAGATACGACCAAAACAAGCGAAATCTGTGATCACTTCTATCTCATACAAAAAATCGATATTTTGAGTGAAAACATAAAAGTCCATTTTTCTTGGAAACTATAAGAGATACGGCCAAAACAAGCGAAATCTGTGATCACTTCTATCTCATACAAAAAATCGATATTTTGAGTGAAAACATAAAAGTCCATTTTTCTTGGAAACTATAAGAGATGCGGCCAAAACAAGCGAAATCTGTGATCACTTCAGTTTCATACAAAAAATAGATATTTTGAGTCAAAACATAAAAGTCCATTTTTCTTCGAAACTATAAGAGATACGGCCAAAACAAGAGAAATCTGTGATCACTTCTATCTCATACAAAAAATCGATATTTTGAGTGAAAACATAAAAGTCCATTTTTCTTGGAAACTATAAGAGATACGGCCAAAACAAGCGAAATCTGTGATCACTTCAGTTTCATACAAAAAATCGATATTTGAGTGAAAACATAAAAGTCCATTTTCTTGGAAACTATAAGAGATGCAGCCAAAACAAGCGAAATCTGTGATCACTTCTATCTTATACAAAAAAACCGATATTTTAAGTGAAAACATAAAAGTCCATTTTTCTTGGAAACTATAAGAGATACGGCCAAAACAAGCCAAATCTGTGATCACTTCTATCTTATACAAAAAACTTATATTTTAAATGAAAACATAAAAGTCCATTTTTCTTGGAAACTATAAGAGATACGGCCGAAACAAGCGAAATCTGTGATCACTTCTATCTCATACAAAAAATCGATATTTTGAGTGAAACTTAAAAGTCCATTTTTCTTGGAAACTATAAGAGATACGGCCAAAACAAGCGAAATCTTTGATCACTTCTGTTTCATACAAAAAATCAACATTTTGAGTGAAAACATAAAAGTCCATTTTTCTTGGAAACTATAAGAGATACGACCAAAACAAGAGAAATCTGTGATCACTTCAGTTTCATACAAAAAATCGATATTTTGAGTGAAAACATAAAAGTCCATTTTTCTTGGAAACTATAAGGGATACGGCCAAAACAAGCGAAATCTGTGATCACTTCAGTTTCATAAAAAAAATCGATATTTTGAGTGAAAACATTAAAGTCCATTTTTCTTGGAATCTATAAGAGATACGGCCAAAACAAGCGAAATCTGTGATCACTTTCAGTTTGATACAAAAAATCGATATTTTGAGTGAAAACATAAAGTCCATTTTTCTTGGAAACTATACGAGATACGGCCAAAACAAGCGAAATCTGTGATATAGTCTTGACTATAGACTAGACTATAGTCTATATACTAGACTATAGACTGGACTATAGACTAGAGTATAGACTAAACAATGGACTATGCTATAGAGTTGAATATAGATTAGACTATAGACTAGGCCCTCCTATTAATCTTGTAACTAATATTTATTTCCTTTTGTTTACATTACCTTTTTCAGGTTGTTTTAGATGGCGAAGAAGTACAAATAGATATATTGGACACAGCCGGTCAAGAAGATTACGCTGCCATTCGTGATAATTATTTTCGCAGTGGTGAAGGTTTCCTTTGTGTTTTCTCCATAACAGATGATGAAAGCTTCCAAGCAACACAAGAATTCAGGTAAGTTTATTTTTAGCTATTAACCTAAAAAACACTATATATTTATACTGTTTGATGTATTTACAAGCTGTCATCCTTGACACACATTTTTCCAAAGAAATTTGATATTTATAGCTGGAGAGTATTTTCTGCGTTATATTTTTCTTGAAATTGTTTTCCTTTTTTTTTTCAAAACAATTAAAAGTGTTTTTATTATGACAGTGTTTTTGGGGTCTTTGGGTTTTTGTGTGAAATTGTGTTAACAAGTTGTCACATCTTATGTCTTGCGTTATAACGTCGCCACACTAACTATGTATATGTATTAGTGTAAAAAGTGTGTTTATTTATTTAGAGCCTTCATTAACACTTACTTTTTTTCATCGCTGGGGATGTGTTCATGCATTTTGCCTTTATTTTAATTTTGTTTAAGATTTTTGCTTTAGAGGTTTAATGAGAGGCTGGTATTTAGATTTTGCCGGTTTTTTAATTTAATACAGGTTATTGCACAAGGTTTGTACTGGACAAACATTGCTGTTGATCCAGAATATGCCCTGCAGTCTACTAAAAGCCCCATATAAGGATTTTATTCTAAATAAAATGCCTTCTTAATTGTTAATTTTCTTAACAATATATTTTTTATAACACAGCCAACTTATGACACTTTGACAATTAACGTCTCTGCTCTAACCTGTGTTCTAAATAAATAAAGTATTTATTTCAATGCCTTAACTAATTAACGCTTTGTCATGTGTTTATTATTTTTTTTCTATTTAATTTTATTTTATATAGTTTTTAGATGAGGGTTGTTTTGTTTATTCATTGTTTTCTAATCTTAGTCAAGTATAGTGTTTTTACAACTCCTTTATTGCCAGACATGTTTAATTAACTGTAAAATTATTTAAATAACATTAGAAGTTAAATATTAACAATACAAACGGAATTGAACTTTATATTCAAAGAAGATTTGAGGCGAAGATTGGACAGTCACAGATGTGACTGAACATTTTAACTAATCATTCGGTTGGTCCTTCAGCGTCTAGTTTTAATAATCTTAATCGAAAGTTTTCGATGTGGCGCATCAACAAACAGTATTTTTTGCATGTAATGGAGTATGTAAATGGGGATCCTAACATTACAGTTCATTTGACAGTTCAGCCTTTTGTAAGTCCAACCGGCAGCAGCTACAAACTCTCTTTATACTCACTATCAAAAACGATGTGATATATTGGTTTTGTCATACTGTTTGTAACACGTCAAATTTATTGTCTAAGGCCCCCAAAAGTATGTGTACATGTTCTAGGTCCTTATTAGGTTTTAAGACGATCTTGCCACATATATTTCTTAGCGGTCGAAGATTCCACCTAGCCGCCATACAAGTGCCCGCCCAGTATACTGTTTGAACTGTCCATAATTGATTCTACCTTGCATGTTGAAAACACGAGAGAGTTCAAACGAAAATAGCTAGAGATCTGAAATTTACCACGTATATTTCTTAGCGGTTAAAGATTCCACCTAGCCGCCATATAAGTGCCCGTTCAGAATACTGTTTTAACTGTCCATAATTGATCCTGCGTCCCAAATGAAAACTCCTTCAATGATGCAATTTGTAATAAACAAATTTTGTAGGAACCAAAATCTATCTACCAAATTGTATAAGAATCGGTCCATATCCTCCATTAACGATTTCCTCCAGAAAATTACTTCAATGCTCAAAGCTATCGGATTCGACATAAATAAGTTTTGCAGAAACCAAAATCTCATGGTGAATTCTCCAAAACCAACTTTTTTTAGCAAATGTTTAGAAAATCGGATATTTTAATTGATCCTATCCCCCCTATAACTCTTACTCAAAACGATTTTTTATTAATAATTATTGATAAAAGTGGACAGAATGTGATAAAAGTGGACAAAAACAATTTGTTTTTAAAAAAGAATCTCTCTTTAAAATTCGAAAGAACTTAGTCCACGATGAACCCAAGTAAAGGTCATATTCCAATACCCATGATGGGCCTCAAAAATAACCTACTATTCTCTATTTATTGTCACATGTAAAGCAGATCGATCTTCTGTTCTCCGTTTTTCTTTAATGTTAAGAACGGGAACTTAGAAAAATTCTGGGAATAGCCCTACTCATGCAGAGTTGGGAGTAGGAATAATGATTGTGATAGATGGGAGAAGTGTTTATGGAAATGTGTTTAAAAAGAATTCTAGATGAAAAGCATCTTAAAGTAGCTGGTATTTGGCAAGAAGTTCTTACTGGAATTTTACAGACACCGCAAGAACCTCACGCATAACCGGGATAAAGTTCGAACCACTGCCCTGCTGGCTATTGGTTCCCGTGTTTTCAGATTATATAAATCATTCCATGAATACATTTGACACCACCAGTTTATAGTTCCGACAGACTAGAGGTACTGGTATCAAGCACCTATTTTCCCCTGGATTGCAATCACACCTAGATGGGGAAGTTCATTAAGGTAACATGCCCCGGGTGGATTTTTCCAGACAGTTACGAATTGAGATTACCTCCGTTCCCACGTTCACTTGCCAAGATTTTCACCAGATTTCGCATTTGGAAAAAAGTTCTTACTGAAATTTCACAGCCACCTATAACCGGGACAAAATCCGAAACTCTGCCCAGTGGGCTATCGGTTTCTGTGGTTCCAGATTATACGGCTCTCTGGTTCGATCTCAGATCAAATTATGCCAAGGAAAGACCATGCATACATTTGACACCACCAGTTTATAGTTCCAACTGACTAGAGGTACTGGTATCAAGCAACTATTTTCCCCCGAATGGCAATCACACCTAGATGGGGGAAGTTCATCAAGGTAACATAGCCCTGTGTGTATTTTTCCAGACAATTGTGAATTAAAATTATCTCCATTCCTACGTTTACTTTCCAAGATTTTCACCAGATTTCACATTTTGTCTTATAAATAAATGTCACTGACAACAACTCAAGAGTATATATATGATTGGAAGTTTGAGAAAAAAGATTCTTAAGTTTCTTTAATCTACAACAACTCGAAGAAAGCGATCTGTGCGGAAGATGCATCCAAATGGATAAAGCTATTAACAATACTAAAATATCTAGAGCCAACGGCTAATGGAAGACATTATCTATCTTATGTTCAAGATGATAGTTTAAATTCTATATTTAGGACAAGGTTCCCTGATTATAAACGATATCGAGCTTAAACCCATGTTAAACATAGGGTGCACTATTTATTTCTTGTGCACTCTTTATACTAATAATAACTTTTATACTTGAAACTATAAATATCCACATTAAACTCAATTTACTTGGGGTATATATTAACCACTTGTCCCTTGATATTCAATATAATAAGATTTTAGTTTCAATAAATAAAAAAATTATAAAAAAAAACGTTTATCACAATTATAAGCAAATCACCGAGTCACAATAAAAAAAATAATTCTGAATAATGTTCAAAGTATATTTATGTTTCACAAATGAGTGATAGATATTTTCAGGGTTAAGTAAACTCATTATACTGATAAAATTCTCAAGTGATTGGTTATGGAAATAATTCTAAAACAAAATTATTTGCACGAGAATTTAAAGCAGTCACGAGCAAAACTGAAATTCTAATGCACGCGTGCATAGGCCAAGAAATTCTGCTGACGCTTTGTTGACACACCTACACTATAAGCTTGTGTGTATTAGTGTGTCTGTGTTTTACTAACATGACCACTTGTTTGTTGCTTTGTTACGATCTCAGAGATCAAAATCAAATCAGTTGCTGTTCAGCTTTTGTAGAAGCAAGATCACGTTGCGGATTTTTTTATGCTTATGATTTTTTCTCTTTTATTACACCTAGCAAAATGTTTGATATAAATTGGGAAAATGATTTCTTTTTTATAGAAAACATGGACGGTGAGGCACAATGCGTCGTATGTTATAAAATTATATGTAGAAAAGCTTTATTTTTTTTGAAAAGGCATTATGAAACTTGCCATGGACCCTTAAATGACCTTAGGGGACATGACAGAAAAGTAAAGTTGTTGCAATTAAAAGGTTAACCGATCAACACATTGGTGACTTATTGCGTATTAAGGAATATAAAGGAAACATTGATTTGGATAGATTAGTTGAACTTTAAATTAAGTTCAGTTAATATCTCGGTAATATCCCTTAAAAGTTCGAAATCGAATAGAAAGTCGTGATTTTCTTAATGATATTTCAGTAGTTTTATTTAATACTACTTTTTAAAAATACCACTACTTTTCTTAAATGAAAAACTCTTTCCCTTTATTCCATTTTTGTTTAAAATGCCCAAAAGTTCATGAGTTTTTCTCGTCGTAAAAAGTATTTGCAATAGAAAACAAATTTCAAAACTTTTCTCAGTGTACCACCATTTTGTTATAACGTGCAGTCATCTCTCTGCTGCTTAACGCACACAAATATACACATGGTGGTATGTGTTTGCCCATGACTGATTTAAAGGCATTTAGAAAATTGTAAAAATTAACGATTGTGAATGAAACATTATAATGAATCATATTAAAACATATGTTAATATTTAAATAGGCACAAGTTAATAGTTTTTCTTGTTTTATTTAAACTGGGGGAACCTGGATCAATAATTTGTTGTGTATACATATGCATTTAGAGAGAGAAAAAACAACTACAACAACATTTACTTAAAGTTACATATGTTTTCCATACAAACTTGCCCTTAATGAGCAAGTTGACACATGCGGAAGTTGGTAACAGTAACTGAAGCAGTTAAAATACAAAACTGCAAATAAAACCGACAATCCAACCAACAAATTACTAAATATATACATACATACATCAGGTAAACTTAACTGTGCGAGTATTTAAGACGATTTTTTATGTTGGCGTGTTAGTTTTACATTAATTTCCTAGTTTTTTTCCCCCCCTTAAGTATGTTTATGGGAGTTTGTTGTCGCCTCATGATGATGATGACGATGATCGACTGACGACGTCGTCTATATTTGCATAAATAAAGGGGTTTTGCAAAGGTTGTGT